GTAATAATTAATTCATGGAGCCCTCGGACCTCATCGCAGCCTGCCAGGGACCGGCCCGAGATGGGTTCCCATTCACTCTTGTCAAGTGGATAACTGGAAGCATGTGTTGCGTTTGTCTGCAGAACAGACGCTACAGGGGCTGTGTGTGTGTGTGTGTGTGCGTGTGTGTGCATGTGTGTGCACACCCAAACCTCCATCACACCCCCCCACACACCAACCCCAGACAACCCCCTCCTTTGGCTATTGGGTCGTTTGTCAGGCCTTGTGTCAGTGGCTGGTGGGACAGAAGGTGCCGTGCCATAAGACAATTGCGGAGCGTGAAATTCAATTAGTTAAGGGCCTGGTTGCAATTTCACAGGCCCTAAAAAAGAGAGAGGGGAGAGGGAAAGGGGGCGTTTTTTATGGCCCCCTTTTTTTATTATTATTTATTTCTCTCTCCTGAGGGTTTTTCTGACTCCCCCTGTCCCCCGGCCCCCATGTGCGGCAGCTTGGACATGCCTTTTTAAGAAGTTATTTAGAGTTCATATCTGTCACATCTATTTAATGCACTCTGCGTGATGTTAAGACGTGGTCTTGACATCATAAAGCTGATCCCGCTCCCTCTCCCCATCTCCTCCTCTCTCTGTGTCTCTCTCTCACTCCGCAGGTGTCCCTGTGAAGGTCACTAACGTCAAGGACAGGACCACTCACCAGTCCTCCCTGGAGCTGTTTGTGTACCTGAACGAGATAGCGTAAGTGTGGTGGGGGGGGCTGTCTTGCGGCTCTCATGTGCTCCGTCTTTCCCAGCCGTGAGCACAGAAGATCACCCGCTGCCATGTGTGCACGCCCCGAGAGCAGGCTGCGTGAGACTCCATGGGTGCACACATGAGGGACAAGCAAGCTGAATAACAGGACGTGTCTTTGGGTGGCTCAGTGAGGAAGGAGCTAGGGTTTGGCCAAGCCGCCCTAGGTGCCAGTGGCAGGGCTGTGATCTCCTCATTCCCAATATGCACCAGAACATGTTGGTATTTGAATTCAGATGTAGCCTTGCCCCAGGGCTGGGCTGTCTTGCCAACACCAGATGCCCCGTACCCTCACTCTGTACCTGTTGGCCAGTTGTCTCACCCCAGGTACCAGTTCGCTAGGTGGATCCCATCCTCTCAGCCCATCCCTGTCCTTGTCTCTGATTGTCCAAGTCACTCCTGCATTTATGGTGGCATCAGATGCAGGAGGAGGTTTGGTAACGCTGCCCGCTCCTCTCCTTTCTGCACCAGTAAGTGGGCTCCTGGGGAGTTTCTGCTGAGTTCGATTCTGATATTTGTGGGTTCCCCCCTCCACCTCTGAGCCCCCAAGACACAACCTCACATCCTTCAAAGAGGGGCCGTGGGAGTGCGTTCCCCTTCAAGGGGCTGTCAGTACCATTTCCTAAGGAAGGGAAGGAGTGAGTGCATGCCCCCACACCAACCCCGATTTGTCCTTTGCTCCACTGATACCCATAAGCCTGCCTCTGACTTACACTCAAGGGGCGAGCACAGGCTCTGGCTTCTGGCCCCTGTTGCAGCCCTGGGGCCAGGACTTTAGGCACACTGTCCTGCATAGCGGTCCAGCGCCTTTTCAACGGTTCACTGCATGCTTTCATGGCCCCCCAGCATACGGGCCTGCACCCCTTTCTCCCAACACACGGTCAGCGTGGCCTTGCGTTGCACTCCTGCTCGGCGGGAAGTGGTCCCACAGTTAGACGGTCTTTGGCTCGGGACTAGGCAGGCACTGGGGAACCATTCATCCATCCCCTTGCCAAGTGCCACACAGATTCCCCTGTCCCGTTCCTCCTTTGTGCCTCTGCCTTTATCCCCCTGGAGCTGAATGGGAATGAACTTTTCCATGTAGTTCTCTTTTTAAATGTTAATTAAGTGGTTTTAAAATGACTTCACCGATCATGAATACAGCTGCCGTGGCAGCAGCACCTCTCCCCCGCTCCCTGCTCTCGCCTGCTTATTTGTCTCGTGGCTAGCCATGCCACGCCGAATGGTGGATTTCCTCGGGGCTCTTCCCTGCCCCGGCGGTGAGATGGAAGGGGGATTTGCATTGGCAACGAGGTTCAGCACTGGGGGTTGGGAAGGGTCCCACTTTCTCCTCACCAACCAAACTGCAAAGAGGGGGCAATGGGGGGAGGGAGGACTCGATAACACATCCTATGCAGCCCACGCCACCCGCTGTGAGGCAGCTCGACTCCTGACAGAGCCTTATTGATGGCTTCAGCACGGAGGACTTCCCTGTCTTGTCATGCTGTCGTGCGTCTCCAGGATGGTGCTGGGCCCTGTGGGACAAGTCAGAGAGAATGGTGTCATGATGTGGTCTCAAGATGCATTGCTCACCCTGTGGGTCCTAGTCTGTGCCCTGAGCTACGAACATGGGATGGCGCTGAGGCCGGGTGTCGCGTGCCAATATGGTGCAGTAGCCGCTAAATGCATGTCGTAGACATGAAGGTGGGGTTTTCATTTCCATCAGTGTGGACAGGATTTGGCTCTGCAAAGGGGGTTCTCTATTGAAGCTGCTGGATGCAGAAAGACCTGGGGGTCCTCTCAAGCCCCATAGCCTCCAGTCGGTGTTCCTTAGTGTCACCGCGCGGGGTCTCCGGAAGTCCTGCCCAAAGCTAGGCTTTCGAGGAGCAGGCTCCTGACTGTAGTACAGGTCTTTGCCTGCACTGTGGACACCTTCAGATCAATGGGATATGATGAATAGGGGGGTTGATGGTATGAGAAACCCCTGAAGGAGAGGGCGGTTTGTGTGATGGGGAGCAAGTTCTGGTCCAATCTGCCCCTTGGCCTTTCCCAATACATTTCTGTTCTCTGGGATATCATCTGACTTAGGTATCAGGGCTTCAGCCTTTAAATAGATATTTGCGCAAAGCCAATGACCTCACTGGGTATCAGTTTGGGCCCTCCTGGGGAGATCCCTTTCTTTGTGGTCCCTGTGAGCAGCACTCGGCAGTCCTCACGAGATGCCAGGACTGCACAGTCCCTGGGAGATCGTGATGCAGGTCCCAACCTCTCCTTTGCTTTCTTCTCACAGTGGCAAGCACGGTGTTGGGCGCATTGACATTGTGGAGAACCGATTCATTGGGATGAAATCCAGAGGTAAGAGCTCCTTTCGTAGACACCTTGCCTTCTCCCAGGCCCCAGTCTTGTCCCAGAGCAGAGCACTGGGATCCAGCCCCTCATATTGCATGGGCTGAGCTTGTGCTGTGGCCAGGCGGCTCTGATTCAAGGAGCCGCACACGTTCCTTGCAACCCCTGCTCTGTGCTACACAGTGGCACTTGGACACAGTGCAGGATCCAGGCTCTGAGTCCACCATGCCTGCAATTCTGGCTTTGCTAATGGAAGTGAAAGGGAAGGTATGCCTATCGCCAGGATTTCTCCGTATGGATCTACCTGTATGGTCTCTGTCGTTGTAGTAGGCAAGTACCTGGTCACTAACAATCGTCTCCACTCCTAATAACAGTCTCTGCTAATTGCAACTGATGCTGTTGGTATAAAGGCCCAAGATTGTGGCCTGTAACTGTAGGCTGCTTGAGTTGCAGTATGGGTGCATGCATGCGTGTGTGTGTGTGTGTGTGTGTGTGTGTGTGTACATCTGTATACATTCACATCTGTAGTACTTGGTTCAGTTTTAGGCCCCCCACTACAGAAAGGATGTGGACAAATTGGAGAGAGCGCAGTGGAGGGTGATGAAAATGGTTTGCGGGCTGGGGGACATGACTGATGAGCAGAGGCTGAGGGAATTGCGCTTAGTTACTCTGGAGAAGAGAAGACCGAGGCAGGATTTAATAGCCGCCTTCAACTCCCTGCAGGGTGGTTGCAAAGAGGATGGAGCTGGACTGTCCTCAGTGGTGGTGGATGACAGGACAAGGAGCAGTGGTCTCAAGTTGCAGCAAGGGAAGTTTAGGTTAGGTAGTAGGAAGAATTTGCTCACTAGGAAGGTAGTAAAACACTGGAACAGGTTACCCAGAGAGGTTGTGCACCCTCCAGCCTTGGAGGTTTTTAAGACACGGCTTGACAAAGCCTTGGGTGGGATGATGTAGTTGGGGCTGGTCCTGCTTGGAGCAGGGGGTTGGACTAGATGTGACCTCCTGCGGTCCCTTCCAGCCCTCATTTTCTGTGATTCTACAGTACATAAAGTGCCTAGTACAGTGGGGCTGTGTCTGCCATCTCTAAGCACCAACGTAACTCAGTGTAACCAAAAAGAACAACATCCTTAATCTCCTCTTTTCCTTCTGTTTTGACTTGCTGAGTTAAGGATCAAGGTTTTCATTTGAAGGGGACCTTAAATTTCCCTCTTCAGTGATGAATCTTGCCAGGGGACACAGTGGACACTTAGTGCCAGTTCTATTTACCGCTAGAAAAATAGTTTGGGAGCAACCGTGTTTACCAATTTATTTTTGTGGTCAAAGTCTTGCTTTATTTGGGGTATGGATGTACTAATGCTTCACTGTGTGTCAGGTGCTCTGGAGAAACTGCCTGTGCGTGCTTGTGCCCCATGGGAAATGGGAGTTCACCTGTGGTAACTCACCCTCCTTTCACTGAAGGCTTAACTACCGTAGTTTAGTTTCCATTTACACTGAGGTAAGAGCTCGCACACAGGCACATAGAGTGATAGAAAATGCAGGTTGGAAAGGACCTCAGGAGGTCCCATCTCATCCAACCCCCTGCTCAGAGCAGGATCAACCCCAGCCAGAGCATCCCAGCCAGGGCTTTGTCCAGCCAGGTCTTAAAAACCTCCAAGGCTGGAGCTTCTACCACCTCTCTGGGTACCTGCTTTTCAGTGCTTTACTGTGGAAGTACAGTGAAGCCCAGGCCTCTCTTACCTCCCAGTGGGTTTTCTGCAAGTCCCAGCCCCTGGAGTCAGGCGATTACACGAGAATCTCAGCTTTTCTTGGCAAATGCAAGCTTCTAGCTCTGCATGGTGCTGAGGAAAGCACAGGATGCGTCACAACTGATGTTTGCCCTCAGATGGACAATGAACGCCCCCAGATTTCTCACTATTTAAAAAAAAAAATCTCATTATGTTTTAAACGTATCCTTTTGACTTGTGCTTGTAGGCCTGGTTTAAACTCTTGGGATTGGCCTTAACCCATCCAGCATTGCTTACAAGCCACTTAATTGCAAATCCCAGGGGCAGGAGCGGCCCTATTCAGCACTGAATAACAAGGTGGCTAGTTATCCACCCCCTTCCATTGTGTCCTTCCCTTTTTGTTTTAAATCTCGTTAATAACTAATTAAGTGCTCCCTTTGTTGAACTTGCCCTTCGCAGCAAGGCAGGGCTAAATATTGTGATAACATTTCACAGCCAACTATAATCCTCCCTCTTCTGCCCTCAGCACACCAGAGGAGAGCTTTCTTCCCAAGCTTGTTGCTGGGTTCTGAAAAACCGGGGTTGATTTTTAGTGAGTGCAGCTGAAAGACGGAGAGAAAAGAAATCCAGAAAAGCCCCGACATTAGCACGCGAGTTCCAGGGCGCTGAGTAATTGGTGGTGATTTCCTGGTTTTTAAAGAGCCGCTGACATGCTCCAGTGACCCTTGCAACATCTAATAATTTCTCAAGACTCCATTTAACTGTCACGCTCATCTATGGCGCGTTGTCTCTGAGCGATCGCCTACATGTTTGTGTGTAAACAGATGATGCATCCCTTGCAGGCAGCTTCCTCAAGGGGCCCTGATCCAGGACTTCGGGGTGGTGATGCTCTGACGGATGAGGCCAAAACCTGTAGGCACATGCTTGGGCCCGTCTTTATTTGGCAAAGGATTTAAGTGCACGTGTAACTTGAAGCACATTCTTGTGTCCCAGTGACTTGAATGAGACCTCAGCTCATGCCTAGTCGCTTTGCTGCACAGGGGCTGGTGCTACACAAGCTCTGTGCCAGTAGAAAGAGTTAGTGAGGTGTTTTTTTCAGCCAGTAGATTATATTATGGTCCCTAGTGTGGATGCAGTTATAGTGGTATAGTGGTACCATGGGGTAGGTGACAGCTTTGTGCTGGCACACTTCAGTCGGTCAGGGCTGCGAAGCGGCATGAGCTCTCAGAGATGTAGAAGTGCCCAGGACTGATCTAGCCATCTGGACTGAGCTCTTGTTCATTGAAGAGGTGGCTACTGTAGTTTAGCTGCCCCTAACCCTGGGGTAAGAGCTGGCACTTGGATTAGCACATAGCAACGGATACATCGTGTAGTCCCCGTCCCGTTTTCGCTCGCTGTTACTTGTTCCTTAGTCCATCCCCTGAAGTGTCTTTGTCTAACCTCCGGGCCTATGTACTTGGGAGGCACTTGAGAAACTGAATCCAAATTAACTTTTAAAATTGGGTTAGTTAAAGTGATTTAATCTCTTGTACGTGGGCCCTCAGAGTCAGAATTAAAATAAGCCTCATTGGTGGAACTTAGTTTACTTCTAAGGATGAATTCAGCTCCGTTTCATTCTGACCGAGCGTGTCCACACAGGGTTTTAATGTGGTTTAGCCGGACTGCTTTAAATATACATCTTCTGTTGGTTAGGATTAACTTTCCAAAGTGTCTCCGTGCAGACAAGGCCTTAGCGCTGGCGTGATTGTACTTGCGTCGTGGGGGAGGGTGTTGTCCTGCTTTAACTAGGTAAAAGCCAAACAACTTGTGTTTAGACAAGGCCTTAGGGACTGCCTTGAGCACGGGAGAGGAAGTTGTTGGTTGAGCAGGTGAGTGCCCCAGAGATACATGCTCAGAGTCTGGGATGTGCAACGATGAGGGAGCTCTTCCATGTAGACACCGGTGGCATGGGCATCCGTCTTGGTTCCCAGAGGAAACAGGGACAAAGCAAGGGGCAGCTGAGCGAGCCTGATGATCCCTGTAAGAGGCACCCAAGAGGGGTGGGTGTTGATACCGTGGGATGTACAAATAGTGCCCCAGCAAGAGCTACTTTGGCAGTGTCCTGTATGTAACGTGGGTTGAATCAGTGTCCCGCAGTTAAGCTCTCAGGG